AATGACATTTGGGCAAAGATGTGGAGAGAGTGAAGGGGGGAGCCATAGATTTGCCATATCCCAGGTGAGGCACAGTTCAACTTGTCAAGAAGACCAGATGAGCTTCTTATTTAGAGCAACACCTACCTGATTTTAGAGTAACACTCAAGAGGGACCACGTCTGCCATGTTCAGGCAATAACCTACAAGGAGACCCGTGTCCATGGAGCAGAGCGATGGAGGGAAGGGTGGTAGCAAATGGGGTCAGAATATAATTGAGGGAAGAAGGGTGAGTTGGATATTTAACCTTGATAACCTTTGTAAGCAAAGTGTTGACTCCCTTTTGGAAGTTCTTTATCAACAAAGAATGACAACTCATGACAAGACGCACAAACACAAAGTTGTGGAGTCCAGCAGACCAGTTCATACTTGTATAATTTGGGGCATGTTATTCAACCTCTCTGAGTCTCAGCTTTTCATCTGTTAGGTGGGGACAAAAACTTTTGCAGTTGCTAGGAGCTTTATAAATAATGTAGATAGAGTGCCAGGTACAGTGCCCAGCATCCAATCAGAATTCAGTAAATGTCAGTGAGCACTGAGCTGACCCAGAACTGTTCCTTTGGCTCATCTACAAGAGTGTTAGGAGAGACTGGCTTTGGGCCTCCAGTGGCCACCTCATTGTCCACATTGTTTAATTCAGGGCAGTGATTTGGATGATTTGGCATGTCTGTCATTGACTTAACTATAAGTCAAATGAGATTCAAGATGTATCCTAGAAGCTTTTCTATAGCTTGTACCACATTCATTCATAAATGTTGTTCTAGTCTTATATTAAAACCAAGTGGTAACTTTAAAATTGGTGTTATTTTCATGAAGTATAGAACCAGCAATTACTGAATTGACTAAGGGTACTTAGAGCTGACAATTACAAGTTAAAGCAACCTGATTGCAGGTATCTGGGTTGAGGAGTGTAATGTGTGATTAGCCTTATTGTTTCATTAACTCTCATCCCAATGAAGGGCATGTGGCAACAGTGTGAATTTCTTCCCATGTTCCAAATTCAAGCCCCCTTACTTTCTGCTCAGAATTTTGCGTTGGCCTTTTATTTCTTCTGCTTCACCACCTTGCACTTCTCCACTTCCTCCCTGGGGGGGGGGGGTCACTCTTGAACAATATCTAGATCCTATCAGTTCTTGGCTTCAAAATCCCTATTAGTGCCTCAATGAAACAGAAGACTCACACCAAGTACTCTTTCTGGAGAGGGAAGTTTTCTCCAATTTCAGGTCCTTACTTCCATCTACTCTAACATCTTTTTTTAAATGCCCTGACCAGCTCCTTAGAGAAGTCTGGCTCTAGGACTGGGGTAGGAAACATACAAGATGAGCCTGAGGCATCTTGTAGAGTTAGAAAGTAAGGAAGTGCTCAAAAAAGGTGAGGGGTGCAGGCAGTACAGGGAGACAGGACACAGAAACCAACTGAAGGAGTTCACAGTGGCCAGGGCTGGACAATTCTGAGCAACAAAATAATTAATGTAGTATTGGATTATAACCCAGTGTGTAAAATAAAACTCTGTGAGTCCATACTGATATAAATGATTAAATAAGTAAGTAGATGGGAGGGAGGAGACACATCTGTCATGCAGATGAATTCCCAGTAACTTTAGTAGATATTGTAACCTCACAGAGGCGGAGCATAACTCTCTACTCCCTAAGTGTGGGCTGCACATAGTGACTTCTTTCCAAAGAGGACAGTATGGAAAGACAAGGAGGAGAGTACTGTTACAGTGGGGGAATCTGACGAGCACTACCTTAGCCAAGTGATCAGGGTCAACTTCAATAGTAGTAAGTCATGTTGATAGTATGTACCCTTGATATGATGTGATGAGAATGGCACTTTCCCTCTGTGGTCTTCCTCCAGAAACACATAACCTTAGTCTCATCATAAGAAAAGCATCAGATAAATAACACCTGAGGGACATTTTACAAAATAACCTGAGCAACACTTCTCAAAACTGTCAAGGTCATCAAAAAGGATGGAATGTCTGAGAAACTATCATAGCCAAGAGAAGAAGCCTAAGGAGATAAAACAACTAAATGTAATGTGGCATTCTGGATGGTATCCTGGAACAGAAAAAGAGGCATTAGATACAAACTAAGGAAATCTGAATATAGCATTGACTTTAATTAATAATCATGTATCAGTATTGGTTCATTAATTGTAACAAAACTAGCATACTCATATAAGATGTTAATATTAGTGGAATAAAAATAGGAAATTATAGGCTGTGGCATATGGGAACTCACAGTACTATCCTCACAAATTTCCTATAAATCTAAGACTATTCTATAATTAATTAAAAGGTTATATTTTTAAAAATGCCCCAAACTTTCACATTAGTGAAATGCTTTTCCTTCATCATGGCCTGTTGAAGTTCAACCTTTCATCTCCCAACTTAAGAAGACTTTTGAATTCTTTAAAAAAAATGGGTATCTCCTTTGACCTATGTCCACAGAACTTGGTACTTGCTTTGTGGTGCTAATTTTAAGTTAATGCACTTATTTCTTCATTCATTCAACCAACAGTTATAGTGTACCTACAGCAGTTGTTGACAATAAGGCTAACCTTGGCCCTGACCAAGCTTTCAATTTGCCTGTGGTCACAGACTCGTGGATACAGTTCGGTGAGGAAATGTGTAAAGTGCCAAGAGAATGAGCAGTGGTGGGAGTGAGATGTTCTTGGAGGAACTGACCTTTGCACTGAGTTCAAAGAAGGGTTAGTGAGTGCATTTGAGTTGTAGGTGGTGGGTAGAAGGATGAGGAGTAAGAGGGAATATCCTAGGAGAAACCATATTTGCACAATTACTGAGGCAGAAAGGAGGGTGACATTCCCAAGGAAATATATCATGATGGCCAGATATTATCATAGGTAGCACATATGGACTCTCTACTATGTATCAGGCTCAATGCTAACCCCTATACATATGTTGGTTTATCATCATGCAACCCTGTGAGGCAGGTGTTAATATTATTCCCATTTTACAGATGAGGAAACTGAAGCACTCAGTAAGTAGCAGAGCTGAGATTCAGACTGAAAGAGGCTGACTCTAAAGCCCAAACTCTGCCCTCCCGTTGAGGGGAGGCAGAATTAGTCTGCCTTGAAGCAGAGATTCTTGTGTTTCTTTCCTATTAAACCAGGATTTCTCAACCTGGGCACTGATGACATTCTGGACAAGATTGTTCTTTGGTGTGGGATCTTCCCTGTGCCCTGTGGGATGTTTTAGCGCATCCATGGCCTTCACCTGCTAGATGCCAAGAGTACCTACCATCCACCAGTAATGACAATTCAAAATGTCTCCAGATTTTTCCAAATGTCACTGGTGGGGAGGGTGGATAGCAAAATCAAGCCCATTCCTGCCCCTGCATTGAGAATCACTGCATTATATTGTGGATTCTCAGGATAGGATGAAGCTGGGTCTTCGGTCTTTCCTGTCTCCTCTCTTCCTTCCCTCCTCTTTTTCTCCAGTGTTTCCTAAGGCCCACCATGTATGGGCTGAACACATGTCTCTAACAACTTATAACACAGTAACTTGTATATAGTGATTGCTTGACAAATGCTTGCTGAATTTATGCCAACTGAATCCTAAATGTTCTGAGTCCATTCTTGTCAAATAAAATATATCCTGGGCGCCTGGGTGGCTCAGTTGGTTAAGCGACTGCCTTCGGCTCAGGTCATGATCCTGGAGTCCCGGGATTGAGTCCCACATCAAGCTCCCTGCTCAGCAGGGAGTCTGCTTCTCCCTCTGACCCTCCTCCCTCTCATGCTCTCTGTCTCTCATTCTCTCTCTCACAAATAAATAAAATCTTAAAAATAAATAAATAAATAAAATATATCCTTCCTGAACATAAAACTTGATATTGAGAAAGTTAATTCCTGGTCTCCAGTCACTTGGAGTATCTTTTGTGTTCCTAAAGAACTGTCCTGCATGCTGTCAAGAGCCACCTGAATGCTCACCAACATTCAGACAGACCCAACCCTTCACCTGTTAAGAACCTAGTGGAGAGTGATATACATTATGTTGCCAATAAATGTTGAATGCATGGCTGACCTGTAACAATTAAGTGAAGCCATATGCCTAGCTCTGTAATTTGAGATGCCATTTAAAGCACATACCTATTTTCTCCAGCTATTCCTTCTACCATTTTTTGGATGGGGGATCTGGATTTGGCAAATGACTCCCCAACTAGGTTTTTTATTCAGCCCCCTGGAGAGTGAGCAGGCAGTGGGAGGGAGAGTTAATTTTCTGGCAGCCTTCCTGCCACCCACTGCAGGTTCTGTATGACTGGCGTGTCAGTTGCTTGTCATTAGTGGGAGGGAGCTCAGAGAATTCTAAATGGAAAGATAACACAGGAGTGAGCTCCCATAATATAATGCATTTAAATCAGGTAGACTCTTTATTTTGTGTTAGCTCCAGGCATGCGTTGCTTCACTGCTTCTCAGTATATACAGCCTAGAACCATCACCTCTTGAGGGCTATTCATCAGGGCTCTTTTTTTTTTTTTAAGATTTTATTTATTTATTTGAGAGAGGGAGACTGAGAGAGAGAGCACATGACGGGGGGAGGGTCGGGAGGGTCAGAGGGAGAAGCAGACTCCCTGCCGAGCAGGGAGCCCAATGCGGGACTCGATCCACAGACTCCAGGATCATGACCTGAGCCGAAGGCAGTCGCTTAACCAACTGAGCCACCCAGGCGCCCTCATCGGGGTTCTTTGTTGCATTTGAAGTATGGTGCTGTAATACCTGTCTTCTCCAGGACTGTGCATACCTAGCATATGGTCTTGTAGACATGTGTAAATAGATGTTAATAGAGAGTGGACGGGAGAGAGTCCTGCGGTAATTATGCTTCATGAACACTCTTTCTGTATTTTCTCTCACTTTCCCCAGCCCCTCCACACATACCCCCACAGGCCTTAATGGCCACTGAATTATTTCTAATCAGTGTCCCTGTTCTTTCTCTCTTGCCAGAAGGAGGGACATGTGAAGTGATTGCCGCGCACAGATGTTGTAATAAGAATCGCATCGAGGAGCGGTCGCAAACAGTCAAGTGTTCCTGTCTACCTGGAAAAGTGGCTGGCACGACAAGAAACAGACCTTCCTGTGTTGATGGTAAGTAGCTGGTTTTACATCTCTCTTTAGGTGTTTATCTAGGTGTTCACTGTCTGTAATAGATATATATATTTTTTTGTTTCACCTATATATGGTTCAGGATAACCAACAAGGTGCATCCAAAGCGCTGGAAGGTTGTACAAATGCCAGTCCTCAGCATAGTTAGAATTCTTGCTTCTCTGGCTTTGTGACTTTCACATGGCTTATTTTATTGTTTTTTAGAGAAGGTTAAGGTAAAATAATTTCTCAAGTCAAGAAATTGAAGGGTCCAGGGGCACCTGGGTGGCTCAGTTGGTTAAGCGTCTGCCTTGGCTTGGGTTGTGATCCCAGGATCCTGGGATCGAGTCCCTCATCGAGCTCCCTGCCTGGCAGGGAACCTGCTTCTCTCCCTCTCCTCCCTGCTTGTGCTCTCTCTCACTATCTCCGTCTGTCTCTCTTTCTCAAATAACTAAAATCTTAAAAAAAAAAAAAAAGAAAAAGAAATTGTAGGGTCCAGCTCATTTGGGAAGTGATTTTGGATTGAGGTTTTATATAATGATGATGGTGACAATGGTACCAAAGATAACATTTATTCAATGCATATTTAATGAGCATTTACTCTATGCCAGACAACTGCTCTGGGTGCCTCACATGCATTCATAAACAAATAGAGGTGCTCTGAATATTCACCATGTGCCAAGCACTGTCCTAAACACTTCGCATGCATTATTTTATTTACTCCTCCCAAGGATCCTAGAACAGTTACCTATCACTGTGTAACAAATGACCCCCAGCAGCTTGCAACAGCAAACATTCTCTCACAGCTCCTGGGGGTCAGGAATTCCACTTAGCTGAGTGTGTCTGGCTCTGGGTCTCTCACGCAGTTGCAGTCAAGATCTAAAGGCTTGACTGATGCTGGAGGATGGTTTCAAGATGGCTCACTCACATGGCTGTTGGCATGGACCACAGTGGCCTTCTTTTTTATAATCTAGCCTCAGAAGTTACACTTCACTATTTCCACAATATCCGGTTGGTTATTTAAGTCATCCCCATTCAGTGTGGGAGTGAGCTATAAGGACTTGAAGGCCAGAAGACAGGGATCATTGCAACAGATACACTTTTCCTCCTATTTTAAACATGAAAAAACTGGGGCTTAGAAGGGTTATGTAATGTTCCATTGGTCCCATGGCTGACAAGCTGTAGCCTGACTGACTTTTTTTTTTAAAGATTTTATTTATTTATTTGACAGAGAGAGTGAGAGAGAGTACAAGCAGAGGGGAGTAGCAGAGGGAGAGGGAGAAGCGGGTTCCCCACTGAGTGGGGAGCCCAATGCAGGACTTAATCCCAGGACCCTGAGATCATGACCTGAGCTGAAGGCAGATGCTTAACCGACTGAGCCCCAGGCCCCTCCTCTGCTTTACTGACTCTTAAGCCTAGAGTAACTGACGGTATTACCAAGTCTTGACCACCATCTTTAAAACAACTTTATATGTGCTAATAGTGAGTCCAAGGTTCAAAAGGACCATAAGTATCTCTCCCCATCACTATCTTTCATAATTTTAGAGCCAAGTATGAGGTGATGTTCAGATTCTTCAGTAAGAAAATCAGGACTCAAGTGAGTCATTTTTCAGGGTCACACAGTAGCAAACAGAACCCAAATCTCTTGGCTTAGAATCCATTGTTCTACCTCTAGAAACAGATAAAGCAGGACACCTTCTAGATTGGCTTGTGTTATGTTTTCATTATGAAGTATGGTGGTTAGAAAGAGAAACACACTCAAGCTAGACCAAGGAAAGTTATTTTTTTTAAGAAAAGAGAAGAATCCTGGGGAGTCCATTTCCTAGAAACCTCATGGAATCCATAAATTCTGCCAGCAGCCGCCATCTTGTTTTCTTTGTTCATGGGACACACTCTTTCTGATCTCTGTTCCCTCCTTCTCCTCTGTGTGGACTGGTTCCCTCTTCTAAGATTTTAGCTTTCGAATTCCTATAACTTATGGGCTGGTGTGAAGCTGTTATTTCCATGATGCCAACTCCAATCTCATATGGCATCACAATACAGCCCAAATATATTTGACTCGTCTCCTGTGTTTTAAATGCATTCTCCAAAAGGACCAAATATAACTGGCTCAGCTTGTGTCACATGTTAACCTTTGCCCAATCAACCATAGCCAGAGAGCTGTACATGGGGCTTGTTCACCTTACCATTGTGTACCATGGTAAGGTCAAGCTTTTTTTTTTTTTTAATTTTTCTAAAGGATGAGAAAAAGCCAAGTTTGGGAATATACTATTATCAGTAAATTCTCAATTAGTACATTTTCAGGGGTCATTTGGCACTATCTGGAGACATTTTTGATCTAGACATCTCTTGCAATTAGGGGGATATTATTCACATCTGGTGAGTAAAAGCCAACAATGCTGCTAAACATCCTATAATGCACAGGACAGCACCCACAACAAAGTATTACACAGCCCCAAATGTCAATGGAATTGAGGTTGAAAATTTGCGCTTATGGTTATTTATTTGTTCCAGATCACAGTCAACATCACATCTCCTCCAATGCAGGAGAGGCAAGCAGTTAGACTAGAAATGCCACTTTTTCACTTGTAGGAGGAAACTCTTGGCCTTTGAAGCCAACGAACATTATAAAGCCATGATAGTTTCTCAAGCTGTCTGCCAAAGAAAGCCTCGAGTCTGTTAATTATGAATCTCCATTTTGTTTCCAGTTCATTTTTTTTCTAATGATCTAGAATTAGAATTGCCTTCAGGATTTGGATGTAAGACATAAAGAGCAATACACTGTTTATTCTGGCAGAGGGGGAAATGGCATCTGGCCCTAAGTTTCTATGAGAAGCTCAGCCACATAATGGGAATATTCTGTCTCTCAGAACAAGTTTATTTGACTTTGGAAACTGAATTCTTTAGTGTGGTAGGTTCAGGCAAGAGGGCTATTAGTCCCTATCTTCCAAGCAAAAGTCAATAAATTATAGAGTATTCTATGGTGTGAACCTATAGCATTCCACTCTTCTAAAATCCTTGAATCCATTGGCATGCATGAGAAAAGTGCTGCTATGATCAAAATTTTTTTTATGGCCCAAATCTCTACATGCAAATGAAAAAGGAAGTGCAGACATAAATTAATAATTCCAGTGTAGTTATTAAGATCATGAACTGTGCAATTAGACAGACATGAGTGGAACTCAGCTATATCAGTTACTAATAGAATTACCTTGGGCAAGTCACATATGCTTTTTAATTTGTTCCTTGGCTGTGAAATGGAGATGATAATTATTTTGACTTGTGGTGAGGATTAAGGAAGTCATGTGTAGAGTTTGTTTTGCGTAATATCTGGTTCCCGTTACATACTCGCTAAATGTTGGTGTCTCTTTCCTATTTTACTAGTAAGTGTGGGTAATGCTTAGAAAGGCACATTGTTTTCCAAAGTTTTGTTGCATTTTAATTGTAGCCACCATCTTTTCCTGGAACTGCTTCTAACTAATTATCCTGGATATCACTATTGCTGGTGAGTCAGCTTCAGGAATGTGTGTTTCTTATAGGAATTTTGAAAACTGTAGAAATAATCCATACATTAAAGGCACACATAATATTATTGCTCAGAGATTATCATTATTTTGTAAGAAAACACGTACATGTCCATTTAGGCTTAACCATCATTAAAAAGAAACTCACATGGGGGGCGCCTGGGTGGCTCAGTTGTTAAGCGTCTGCCTTTGGCTCAGGTCATGATCCCAGGGTCCTGGGATCGAGCCCCGCATCGGGCTGCCTGCTCCGCGTGAAGCCTGCTTCTCCCTCTCCCCCTCCCCCTGCTTGTGTTCCCTCTCTCACTGTCTCTCTCTCTGTTGAAAAATAAATAAAGTCTTTAAAAAAAAAAAAAAGAAAGAAACTCACATGGCAGGTATTTTACTAAACTAAAATGTCATAGTACTCTTTTATCGACAGCTTGTTTCATTTACCATATGACAAACATTCCCCAACTTAAAACATATTCTTCAAAAACATTATTTCTAATAGCTGTATAGGGTTTCAGGGGTGGATACAATTTCATTTATCTAACCATTTCCTCCACTTGGACATATTTATAGTGTTTCATGCATTTCCCTTTCTAAGCCTAAAAATGGATAGAAACCAGCTTCTCCCCATGACAGCGGTTGACAATCCATATACCATATTTGTCCTGAACATATACCCTGTTGTACATAGTGCATTTCCCATGTAACTGTTCCAATTGCTGTTATTTACTTGCCTCTGAAATTACAGGTCACTTGCCTTCCACAGTGTTTTCGAAACCGGAGAAACAGCTATGATTTTAAAATAAGCATATATTCTATTATTCTAAGATTCAAAATCAGAGACCAGATGATTCAAAATGGGACATAAATTTTAGTCTTCAGTGTAATCTTAGCAACTTATCCAAAAATAGAATACAGGATTTTGGGAGAAATTTTTAAAGAGTGGGCTTTGAGTTTAAAGAATGATCTTCTATTGCTTAATAAGTGAAAATACCAAAGAAAAACACTCAACAGCTTAAATATTGTGATAGGTATTTATAAATATTTTGAAAAGCATTATACTCTTGCACATGTGCCTAGCACTATTCTGACCGGATATTAAGTCATTACACTGATTCACACCATCTCGTGTATTGTTAATTATTCTCTAACCCTAGAGAAGGGTGCCTTCCTTACTATCTTTGTTAACAATAATCAAAATGATGGCCAAAATGTTCTTGAAGGCTTACCCTGTACGCTTCTTTGAGGTCCTTCAAGTCTGTACGTTCATTTAATTCTAACCCCAACTCCCAAAGGTGTCTCCTATTATTCCATTTTGCCAGTCAGAAAATTGAGGCATGGGAAATCTGTGACTTGCTCAAAATCACGCAGCCAGTAATGACAGATCCAGAAGTCCAGTCTGGGCTCTCTGACTCCAGGGCCCTATTTACCAAGTGTGGGCAGACGAGGATGTAGCAAAAACACACATTCTATTCCAAAGCCTTTCGTGTA